TTAACCTAATTCTAGCTTTATTAATTAATGTAAACATTTCATTAATTCTAGTGACCATTGCATTTGACTGCCGCAACTAAATATTTACTTAGAAAAATCAAGCCCCTATAAATGTGGGTTCAACCCCATAGGATCAGCGCACCTCCCCTTCTCAGTAAAATTTTTCCTAGTAGCCATTACATTCTTGCTATTTGATCTATAGTGTGTGTGTGTGTGTGTGTGTATATATACATATATACTTGTATTTTGCACAAAACAGAAACCTTAGACCCAAGGATTATCATCAGTCCTGACATGGCTGCATGAAATCCCCAAATTCCTTGAAATGTTATTGTTTTCCTACTTTGACATTTTAATGATTATCCAAATGTGTTAATTTTAATAAACTAAAAGTGTGTGCTATTTAGGAACTTCATATCCTACCATTATTCTGTTGGTACATAAATTGTTGCTGGTGGTGATGGCCTCAGCTGCTGTGGTGTAGGCTGTGGGACTTAAGGTGGGGGAAATTCTCCTTGATTTGAGGAATGCATCAGTCAGGGTCTGTGGATACATAGGAGAGAATGATAGTATGAACTGTGGTACTTGCATCAAAGTGGTATGGACACATGACATTGTCTGCAGCACAATGTGAATTTTATGAATCCCATTGTCTTTCACCACCTGAGACATATAACCAGAAGGAAGGTATATAGGTGGCAGAGTACCACTTGGTGACATCAGAGGTACATAGGCAGCCTGTTAAATATTCTGAATGTTCCCATCTTTAGGGTTGATAGCAAGAGTCTCCCCAGGAATAACTTGTACCAATATAATATGTTGTATCCAGTATTGAGGAAAGGAAGGCCATCTGGCATCTTTCTTGGGATGTCATCGTTTGTGAATAATTAGTAGTATGCTGGGTTGCAATGGTGGTGTTCACATGATAGCTCTCCATGTCCTCAAATGAGCCCCAGCAGCCTTATAACCTCCATTCACTTGTTCATAAAATGATTCTCCACATGACAGAGCTGAACAGCAACCAATGGCCAAGCCCTGCAGGAATATAAACAAATAACATGTAGTCATATGTATTTTTTGTGTGTGAGATAAGCAGAGGGTTTATCTTCTGGGCATCTGTTTCAAAGTGTGAGATGTTTGACTTCCTCCAAAATCTTTTTCAGCAGACTGGCTTACATGAGGCCCAGTCAGCAGGTGACTGCTTCCTGCTTCTGCCACACAACCCAAGCCCTGTTCTGGTGGTATCCTGAAGTGGCCCAATGGCAGAGTCAAATCTGAGGCACTGTGCCAGGTAAGTTCAGAGCTGGAATGGGACAGGGGATGGAACAGGACACTCAGTCACAAAGTAAGGTCATGACAGGAGGTATTTTCAGTAAAACAGTGCACAAAATACATGCCACTAGGGACAACAGAGGACAGAGTGGGTATTTTAAATGCCTATTTGTTTACATTTCCTTGAAACACCAACTGACAGTGAGGTAGAGAAAGAGACAGAGAGAGAGTTCCAGTTGCCAATTTTCTCCCCCAAAGGACAACTAGGACCGAGCCAGGCTGAAGCCAGAAGCCTGGAACTCCATGTGAGTATTCAAGGTATGTTACAGGGGTCAGAGGTCTGCATCAGAAGAAGATAAGCCAGATGTGAACCTGGCCCTCTGAAAAGTCCACATGAGCATAAAAACATTGCATAGGTGTTCTTGGGAAGAAAGGCAGAAAGAATGTCACACCACAGGGCTGGACACAAAGAAAGGAATTCTGAAATAGTTGTTCCAGAGAAATAATGTGTTCAATAGTGCTCCTTCCAAATGGAAAGGCACATGGAATCAAACATGTCCACTGCAACTGAGTGAGGAAAAGCATTACCAAGTACATAATGAGGAAGGAGCACAGGCTTAGGGTCAGTGTTTGAGGGCTTTTAAGCTAGTTTTATTCCTTCCTACCTAGCAGTCCTGGTGCTGTTTCCTTTAAAATGCCCTGTTTTAAACATAGTATGTGGATCCACTAAGGTCACCAAAATATAAAGAAATGGAATTTCCCAGAAACACACACAAAAAGAAAATAGAGTCATTGAATATTGAATGGTTGTGAAAATCACACTGAGTGATGGAGAGCCAAAGGACTGTTCTATGTGGATTGTTCCAAAATCATATTGGAAAAATCATTTGGAATGTTTGCACAGATGAAATATATCAATACTGAAATGTATCAATGGCATTTTTTGAGTGTGGGATATTGAAATACCACTAATTAATGGTATTTTATGACAGATGAAGAGGGATCCACTACACAGAAACAGAAAGGAAATTGAAGATTTCAGGGGGTAATGCAGAGTAGATGAATGGGTGTGAAAAACTCCAAGTTACTGAGAATATGAATAGGAAAAGATCATGCTCTCTATATTGTTGCATAATAAGATCAGTATAAAATGGATATCAATGTTTTGACAGAAGAGAAACAATCTAGAATTGTGTGTGTTTGGGTATGTGTGTGTGTGTGTGTACATGTGTGCATGCATGCATGTATGTGCACTCATGCTGACAGTAGGCAGAGGGGTTTTGGGATATGGGTACCTAACTTGAAGATAAGGTAACTTCTGCAAATCATTTATATTGATATATATATTGATATATATTATATTGATGCATGTGAGTATCAGCAATAAAGCAAGTCCCACCTGTGTGGCATGAGGGAAAGGTATTCTGTGGTGGGATCCAAGGTGGGCAACTCTACAACACAGAGGCTAACATGACACCAGGCTTATGTCACACAGAAGGCTACATTATAGTCCCCAAAGACAAGACTGATAGGTGAGATATCAGGGTAGAAGGTTAATAAAGAGAAGTATGTGGGTGCAGTAGAGTGTAGAATATGTTTCGAAAGATTTCATGTGAGCTCATGTAAGCAAATATTGGGAAGCTGTCCTCAAATCAGGTTTAAAGGAGGCATCCCGTGGAGCTGTACTCAATGCATAGAATCAGAGTTGTTCCATACAATGCATGTTTCAAATGCATCCCTCCCTGATATAAGTACATCCTGAACTATACTTGTTCTTCACAATTGTGTGAGGAAAGAAACAAGTGGAGTATATAGTGAGAAAGGACACACATGAGTTGATGTTTAGGGGTTTATTAAACCAGAGCTGGCCCACCCCTTCATAGAAGTTGTACTGGTCCTAGCATTAAAATAACCTCTTTTTAAACATATTTATTTCATAAAGAGAACGGATTTTATGTAGTTCATATATACAATTTTAAACCTGCAATGATTCTTCCCACTTTCACTGCCTCCTGCTTTCCCTCCCTCCTTCCTCCTGCCTTTTTCCTTTCAATATTATTTATTTTTTGAAAGCAAGAGATAGGAAGAGAGAGAGAAAGAGAGATCTGCCATCTAATGGATCACTTCCCCAATGGCCACGATGGCCAGGCTGGGCCATGCCAAATGCAGGAGCCAGGAGTTTCATCCAGGTCCCCCACATGGGATATCACAGTCCAAACACTTGAGCTAATCTCTGCTGGTTTTCCCAGGCCTTTAGCAGTTGTTTTGCACAGGACATAAACCAGCACCCATATGTGATGCTGGTGGCCACACAACACTGAACCCCATACATTCAATTCAGTTCATGCTCCTCAGTTTAATTCTGCACTAATTAAGAATTCAACAAGAAAAATACAAAGACCACTGTTGTACAAAAGTAGATAAGGATTATTAAAAAAATATCAAATATAAAGTTGTCAGTTTCACTCATATACATTAAAATGGGGGGTAGAGATGACCCTTTCATATGCTGATTTCATTTCCTTTGGATAAATTCCCAAGGGTGCAATGACTGGGTCAAATGGTAGATTTATTTTCAGATTTTTGAAGAATCCCCATACTGTCTTCCACAATGGCTGTACTAGTATACATTCCCACCAACAGTGGACTAGGTACCTTTTCTCCTGCATATTCACAAACACTTCTCTTTCTTTTTCTTTTTAAGTTTTGGTTGATAGCCATTATAACTTAGGTCATATGAGATTGCTTGTTTCATTGAGTACAGATTCATGGGATGCCTCCTTTAAACCTGATTTGAGGAGAGCTTCCCAATATTTGCCTACATGACCTCACATGAAATTTTATTTGCATTTACATGATGGTTAGGGACCCTGAGCATTTGTCCATGTGTCTGTTGTATTTCATCCTTTGAAAAATGCCTTTTCATTTCCTTTGCCCATTTATTCACTGGGTTATTTGTTTTGTTGTGGTTCAGTTTCTTGAGCTCCTTATATGTTTTTAGTTTGCAAATATTTTCTACCATTCAGCCTGATTCCTTTTCTCTTTGTTGAGTGTTTTCTTTGCTGCTTCTGGGTCTCACACATGGGTGCAGGGGACCAAGGGCTTGGGTGATCTTCTATTGCTTTCCCAGGCACATTAGCAGGGAACTGGATCAGAAATGAAGCAGCTCGGTCTCCAACCTGTGTGCATATGGGATGCTAGCATCACAGGCAGAGGTTTAACCTGCTACACTACAATGCTGATGTCATCTATTTGCCTTTTGTAATTCATCCTTTGAAAAATGCCTATTTCTGTCCTTTACCCATTTCTTCACTGGATCACTTGTTTTGTGTATACTGAGTTTCATGGGGTCCTTATTACTCCTATGTACTAATCCTTTATCAGCTGACTAGTTTGCAGATATTTTCTCCCCTTCTATCAGTTGTTTCTTCATGTTGCTGTTTCCTTTGCTGTTCAAAAGCTCCTTAGTTTGATGTAACCCCATTAGCTTATTTTCCTTTTATTACCTGTGTGTCTGGCTTCATAATGGCATAGAACATGGCTTTTAATGTGACAGATTGAAAACAAATCTACATTGTACATGTGTGTGTGCGTGTGTATTTCATTCATGCATGTTGACAATAGACAAATAGGTTTTGGATTGTTTTCTTCATGGAGAAATTTCTGACTCTTTCTCAAATCTTTTATAGGAAATGAATGATGAAGGTGAATGCTACCAATGAAAGCACCTATCAACCTGTATGGTATGAAGGAAAAGAATTCTGAGGTGATAGAAAGGTGTTACATTGTGTGACACAGAGATTGGAAAGCTGCAGTACAAACATAAGATGAAGCATTCAAACAGAACTGAGAAGTAAGATATTGGTGGTCAAGATTATATAAAGGAAAGTGTGAGTGGTGGCGTAGGGTTCCAAAGAATTTTGGAAATTTCATGTGAGCTCATGTAAGCAGACACTGGGAAGACATTCTCTGAAACAGGTAAGATCCAGGCCATGGCTCCAGGACACAAATTAGGAGGTTGTTCCATACAGTGAATGTGTTCAACAGTATTCCTCCTGATATAAGGGCATCCTGAAATATGCTTGTACTGTACAGGTGAGTGAGTGAGAGGATGAAACATTTGAAAGCTGGGGCCAGTTGCTTCATTTGAGGCAGTTGTACAAGTGCTTGTGTTAAAATGAGAGGGTATGGCTGATGCTGCAGCTCACTAGGCTAATCCTTTGACTTGCGGCACCACGAAACACCAGGTTCTAGTCCCAGTCGGGGTGCCGGTTCTCTCCGGGTTGCCCCTCTTCCAGGTCAGCTCTCTGCTGTGGCCAGGGAGTGCAGTGGAGGATGGCCCAAGTACTTGGGCCCTGCACCCCATGGGAGACCAGGATAAGTACCTGGCTCCTGCCATCGGATCAGCACAGTGTGCCGGCTGCAGCGCCCCCATGGTGGCCATTGGAGGGTGAACCAATGGCAAAAGGAAGACCTTTCTCTCTGTCTCTCTCTCTCACTGTCCACTCTGCCTGTCAAAATAAATAAATAAAAAATAAAGAAGAGAGACTAAATGACTGAATTAAGTTCACAAATAGATAAACAGGAAAATGGAGAGTTTTATCTACTTATTTATTGATAGGCTTGTTTATTTGATTAGCTATAAACACATTGGCATTGAATTTTATCTCTGCAGGGCCATCTTGTGCTCCCATGGAGATCCCTTCCATTATTCTTGAATGTTTCAGTTCACCCACTCTTGACTTGGAGCTGTCTACTGCTCTTAAGCCCAGGTCTTTCTTCCTTTCAGTCATGGTCAATACTGCACTCAGGCATTAGAGGGTGCCTGAGGCAAAGGGTGGATTTGCACATGCCTTCAAGACTGCAGTGAATGCACCTAAGGGGGTTGAGGAAGGGTCCAAGGGCTCCTTATTGTGGAACCTCTCAGCTCAGCTCCTCCATAATGACATCTGAGGTTCACAGAGACCTACACATCAGCCATAATGAGTACCCACACATTGATCTTCATGCAAAGTCAGGAGGCCTCAGCACTGTGAGCACAGGCTTCTCATGAGTGAACAGAGGCAGGAACCATGTCCTGTACAGGAATATGGGTCATGTGCATGAGGAGTGAGAAGAAGCCCCAACCTGCCTTGCTTCTTTGGTGCAGAATATGAGGCTATGGGGCGTTATGTGTGCTGCTCCCAAGGGCTGAACTGCAGAGGAGCAAAGTGTGTTCATGCCACACATGAACTCCTCACTACTCTGCAGCTCAACAGGCCCTACCAGGTTCTATCCCAAGTTGTGAGACCTGGAGAAGAGTGGGGATGGGTGAGTGGAATGTTCCCCTGGGGAATCGTGAGCAGGGAGAATCCTTCTAGCTACTTCCCCACCATTTTGGTGAAACCTAGTAATCCTGCAGTGTAAAATAAATCTAATGTACCTTGTCTCCCTTGGGCTGGAAATTTACATCTTAACTTGCACAGTATATTGTGGAATATTTTTATTCTGGAATAGGAAGTCTTTCTTCACTGAGACTCCAGCATTTGAAGAGGGAGTTAATTTGTTTGTTTTCCTTGTTCTTCAACCCTCAGAATCACGTTGATATCTTACAGATACAGGAAGACTGTTGGGATGCACTCTGGAATGTCTTATCTAGTAGACCTGGGGGTGGTCATGGCATTCAGCTCCGCATGTATTGAGTAGGAGCCTCTGCCCAATTATGCTTCCTTGTGTTTTTGGATTTCCATTCTTAATTTACTAAAAATTCAAGTTCTTTGATTTGAAGTACCTTTTTCAGTCTTCAAAAAAAAAAAAAACACATAAGAGTTTCTACCACAAAACATCAATGTCTTTTTAAAAAGTATCATTTGGATTACTTCGCAAAATGTGTTTGAGCAGAAAACCCTAGAATTTTTGCTGAAGCAACAGCAGTCATAGCCCAAGAGCCATTGTAATAGGAGAGATTTGTGTGTAGGTCACCATCAAACTAGGGCAATTTAATGTTGGAATCCCAGATAAATGCTGAGTCATGGAGAAGAAAATGAAAACCTCAAATGAGATCATCCCATGACCATGAGAAATCAACACAGTTCTTAAGTGGGGAAAAGACTGTGATAAGAACACAGGTACTTCACAAGTGAAAAAAATCATGCAAGGAGAATTTTCAACTTATCTCACACAGAAAGCAACATAGATAATAAAAAGATACTTGAAAAGCCAGTTTATAATTTGATATGTTGGAAACATATAAAATCCTGTGCCCCAGAATTCAAAGATGCCTCTTCCTGTCAGGCACAAATCGAGTGTGAACAAGCCATCAACATGTAATAGACAGTTCATCATGACCAAATATGCAGGACACTTGAAATACAAGGGGTACCTGTAGTCTAACCTTGAGGAAGTTCTGTGTCAGTGCCTGTAGAAATGCATGATATTTTTCCTTGGCCTGCAAGACTAGTTGCATGCAGGTCTGGAGAAAATATTCAGAGAATATGACCTATTTGGAGTTAGAACTGCTACCAATAGTAGTTATTTATTTGAAAATACTTTTCAGGTTTCCATATAAAATAGATGGCAGCCATTCAACTTCACTAGGTGCAGTGCCTTTTGATCTACAGTGCTTTGAGGCTCCCCAGTGAGTGATTATGACATCTAAATGTTCTGCATTTTCATGATTCTTCTTTCAGACTCTGAATTTGAGGACATCAGCTGGAGCCCCTCTCTTTTGCCCAGTGTGGCTCTGGGATTTGACCTCTGTTGTGTCGTGCACAGTGATACAAGGACAGGAAGAGTCCCCTCATCTGGCTTTCAGGACTGGACAAAGACATCCCACATTACAGCTGAAGGAGAGTGATACCTCTACTGTAGGAGTACTCTCAAGAACAAGAATTTCTGCTCATATTGGGACACCCCTGTATTCTAAAAATTACCACAGATGAAATTAGGTAAGAAGGGGAGAGAGAAAACCCACATTCATTCAGGTGATCTTCTCAGGTACACAAGAAGGTGGTACACAAAGTGTCAGTTTTGTCCCTATAGATTACATTTTAGGTATTCAACTAATTACCACAACTCAGAAACCATATGATATTTATATTTTTGTGACTGGATAATTTCACTAAACATAATGATTTCCAGTTCCATGGTATTTTGATTGGTTTGCATGGAATCTATAAATTGCGTTCAGTAGTATGGATATATTGATGATATTGAATCTTCCAATCTATTAACATGAAATCTGTTTCCAATTTTTATGCATTCTTCTATTTCTTTCTTTAATGTTTTGTAATTTTCATCATAGACATCTTTAATGTCCTTTTTTTATTCCAAGGTATTTAAATTCTTGTAGTTACTGTGAATGGAATTGATCTTAGAAGTTCTTTCTCAGCCGTGGGGCTGTTTGTGTATACAAAGGGTACTGATTTTGTGTGTTGATTGTATATTCTGCAATTTTACCAAACTCTTTTTTGAACTCCAGTCATCTCTTTGTGGAGTGTTTTGGCTTCCTTATAGGGATAGTTTGGATTCTTCCTTCCCTATTTCTATCCGTTTGATTTCTTTTTCTTGCCTGATGGCTCTGGCTAAAACTTTTAGGACTGTATGAAATAGCAAGGGTGCAAGTGGGCATCCTTGTCTGGTTACAGTTCTTAATAGGTATGCATGCAATTTTTCCCCATTCAGTAGGTTATTGGAAGTGGGTTTGTTATAAATTGCTTTGATTATGTTGAGTGTCCCTTCTATATCCAGTTGCTTAAGGTTTTCATCATAAAGGGGTGCTGAGTTTTGTCAAAGGCTTTCTCTGCCATCATTATCTCTATGAAGATAATGATGTGGTTTTGGATTTCACTTTGTTAATGTGGCATATCACATTTATTGATTTTTGGATGTGGAACCATCCCTACATACGAGAAATAAATCCCCTTTGGTCTAGGAGAATAATCTTTCTGATGTGTTGTTGGATTTGGGTGGCTAGTATTTTGCCTATGTTTATTGTGTCTATGTACATCAGGGATATTGATCTACAGTTATTTTTCAAATTGGTGCACAAAATCTAATTCAGTTTATTAGCCCATGAATTACTAGTGATAGTAATTAGCATAACTGCAGAAAAATATTTAATAAAATGAACAGAGATCTGTGATTTGTAAACAAAGAACTAAAACAACCCATTAAATGCAAAAAAGAATGCTTTTGTGCCCTAAAGGGTATATTAAGATTGCTTAAGAAATGTGGAAATTGTGAGAAGGTTGGAAACAAAGTTGAAGCAAGAATGCTGTACACTACAACTTGTGCTAGAGGCCCTCAGGGGGCTCTGCTCTGTGCATATTATTTTTTTTAAAATTATTCTTTAATTCATTTGAAAAACAGAGTTACAGGGAGGCAGAGAAACAGAGAAAGGAGTCTCCATATACTGGTTTATTCAACAGATGGCTGCAATGGCTGGAACTCTGCAAATTTGAAGCCAGGAGCATCTTCTGGGTCTCTCAGGCAGATGCAAGGACCTAAGTGCTTGGGCCATCTTTCGCTGCTTCCCAGACCATAGCAGAGAGCTGAAATGGAAGCAGAACAGCTAATACTGGAACCAGCACCTATATTTGATACCGATGCCATAGAGAGTGGGTTAATCTACTATGCCACTGCTCCGGCCCCTGATCCTCTTCTGTTCCACCTCTCTGCTGATGGCCTGGAAAACCGGTGGAGGACAGGCCAAGAGCTTGAGCCCCTTTACCCACTTGGGAGATTGGGAAGAAACCCCTGACTCCTGGCTATAGATTGGCTCATCTCTGGCTGTTGTAGCCATGTAGGGTGTGAACCAGCAGATGGAAGAGTTCCCACTGTCTTCATGTCATTATTCCTCTATCTGTAACATGGTGATTCAAACAAATTAAATCAATCTCTCAATCAATAATCTTTCATTACAAATAGTGTGAGCCTTGGGAAGTTTTGAGGCCATGAGAGTAGGGAGTGAATCACACCATTAAAGTAACGGTTGAGGAATGCTGCTATCTAGCGTTGAAAGAGTAGATGCAGCAAGAATCTGCCATGTACAAAGGCAGAGTAGCCTTCACAATGCATGGAATCCTCTATATCATCACTTCCTGAACTCAAGAAACCATGGACAGTGAAGTTATGGTGTTACAAATGACACAGACTAAAGTATTGTTTGAAGCATCATGAATAGGTTCAAAGAATTGGTCTTAGGGCTTCGTTAGGAGAAAAATACAATATACACAACAGTATGTAATATAAAATAGGGGGATGAAGTAATAGAAGCCTGTCTCACATGAGGAAGATTGGCAAAATTAATTGCAAGTAATTTCTGTATCATCTCTTCAAAAAGAGAAAAGGATAAGTTGCCTAATCAACTCTGTCAGTTATTCTATAAGGTCCTTGTGAATCAGAAATAACTGAACATGGGATGATGTTAGTGTAGGTCTTTCACCCGATATGGACAAGTTAGTGAAGTGTCCAAATCACCAGTATGCCAACGCAGAGTGAGACCAGTGCTTCCACAAAAAAGTGACCTTTCTGTTGTTTGAAGATCCCCTGGGAATGACCCTGGTCTGCACAGCTCTGTGCTTCTCTGTCCTCAACGCTGCGGTTCTTGGGGTCTTTGTGAAGCACCGGGACACTCCCATAGTCAAGGCCAACAATCATTGTCTCACCTACATCCTGCTCATGGCTCTCATCTTCTGCTTACTCTGTTTGCTGTTCGCTGGTTGTCCCAACACAACCACCAGTGTCCTCCAGCAGACCACGTTAGGATTGGTGTTCACCATGGCTGTTTCCACTGTCCTGGCCAAAATTATCACTGTGCTTCTGGCCTTCAAGGTCACTGCCCCAGGGAGAAGGATGAGACACTGGCTGATATCAGGGGTACCTAACTCCATTATTCCCATCTGCTTCCTGATCCAACTGGCTCTCTGTGTCATCTGGCTTGTGACTTCTCCTCCCTTTATCAACACAGATGCTCACTCTGAGCATGGCCACATCATCCTGGTGTGCAACAAGGGCTCAATCACTGCCTTCTATTGTGTCCTGGTTTTCCTGTTCTCCTTAGCCCTGGCCAGCTTCACTGTGGCTTTCCTAGCCAGGAATCTACCTGACCAGTTCAATGAAGCAAATTACTGACATTCAGCATGCTGGTGTTCTGCAGTGTCTTGGTGACCTTCCTGCCTTTCTACCAGAGCACCAAGGGGAAGGTAATGGTGGCTGTGGAGGTCTTCTCCATCTTGTGCTCCAGTGCAGGGCTCCTGGGCTGCATCTTTGTCCCCAAGTGCTACATTATTCTCTTTAGACCTGAGAAGAATGCTTTGAAAGGATTAAGAGATAGAATAGTGTCCAAGGAAACATATTTTCTCAGGAGTAGCTCTTAAGACTCTCTCAGTTTTCAATGGTTAGAAACTAAAATTTATAAAAACGATTTTGCATTCTGATGTTAGAAGATAACTTGCAGAATGTAGCCTCCTTATGAACAATTTATACTTCACTTAATGCATTTTTGTTCTGAAGCACTGATTCACAGAATCAGTGTTAGAGTGGGGGAAACTTTCTATCTGGTGATAGACTCTGATGATATCTGCAGTGGCCCAGTGCTGGTTCATACCAAACCTAAGAGATTAATTCAGCTGTCGATGTGAGACTCAGGGACTTAGGCCATCTTCCACTGCATTTTCTGGATCATTAACCATGAACTGGATTGTAAGTGGAAGAGCCAGGATATGAACCGGCACCCACATGGGATGGTAGGGTTACAGGTGGTGATTATATCTACTACACCCCCACACTGGCCCCAATCCTCCTCTCTTCTTAAAAATAATACTGTGTAAAAATCTTAGTCTGGGTTTTATGTTCACACACAAAAACCCATCTCAGATAGAGGCCCTCCTTTAAAGTTTCATTTATGTATTTTCAATTTTAACTGGTCAACATTGTAATATTCATATTTGAATAAAATAAGTTTATTCCAAGGTATTTGATTATTTTTGTGGCTATTGTGAATGGGATTGATCTTAGCAGTTCTTTCTCAGCTGTGGCATTGCCTCTGTATACAAAGGCTGTTGGTTTTGTGCACTGATTTATATCTTGCTACTTTGCCAAACTCTTCAATGAGTTCCAATTCTCTTAGTAGAGTTCTTCTCAAGTTTTTTCCCTTTAATTTCTTTGTCTTGCCTAATGGCTCTGGCTAAAACTTCCAGTAGTATGTTGAATAGCATTGGTGAGAGTGGATATCTCTGTCTGGTACCAGATCTCAGTGGAAATGCTTCTAACTTTTCCCTATTCAATAGGATGCTGGCCGTGGGTTTTTCATAAATTGCTTTGATTATATTGAGGAATGTTCCTTCTATACCCAGTTTACTTAGAGTTCTCATCATGAAAGGGTATTGTATTTTATTGAATGATTTCTCTGCATCTATTGAGATAATCATATGGTTTTTCTTCTGCAGCCTGTTAATGTGGTGAATCACATTGATTGATTTGTGAACCCTGAACCATCCCTGCCTACCAGGGTTAAATCCCACTTGGTCTGGGCGGATGATTTTTCTGATGTGTTGTTGTATTCTATTGGCCAGAATTTTATTGAGGATTTTTGCATCTGATCATCAGAGATATTGGTCTCTAATTTTCTTTCAATGCTGCATCTTTTTTCTGAGTTAGGGATTAAGGTGATGCTGGCTTCATAGAAAGAATTTTGGAGCATTCCCTCTTTTTAGATTGTTCTGAATAGTTTGAGAAGAATTGGAGTTAGTTCTTCTTTAAATGTTTGGTAAAAAAATAAGTTATACATCCATTTGCTGTTTTTATTCATTCATTAGAGTCTAAATTCAGCTTTATAACATATTTTCAGTGCAACAATTAGACATGTTACATCATTTTAGTGTGTATAATGCATTGTCCAGAACCTGATTAACTGTGTATCATTTCACATAGTTTTGAATTGATG